TGTCCCAGAAGTTTTAGTTCACTGTCAAGTTGATTACAGACCTGACTAATACAAAAAAAAAAAAGAAAAAGTTATTACTTTCTTCTCTATATTTATGAATGATTTATCTGTATATATTTTTCTGCTGCTGGGTATTTTGAATGTTCATAAGTGACCATATTAGATAAACTTTTATCTAGTTTAAATTGTTGATATAGAAAAATCAGGAAACTGAAATTGAAGCAGAACTGCATTTAATAAGTGCGTCTAAAGGAAACCATTGTGTACTTTATTACTGACATTGTATTTATCCTTTTACTTATTATGTATACTTGATGAAAGTGTAAAGTCTCAGATTAAAGCAGTGATTCAATCTTCACTGAAAGACATTTCACATGAGGTTTTGAATATGCTCCAGATTGGAATGGAGAACATTATAGACTTTTGAAAGTTCCAAGTAACACAACTCAAAAATCTATTACAGACTAAATAATATGAAAAGATTAGAAGTTGAAAAAAAGAAAAAATTTTGTAGATCAGGGTTGTCTAAATTTGTTCTACTAGCAGGCCACATAGTATTTTGAGTAAGAACAAAAAAGGAATGCTATTAGTTATCAACGAAAGCAAGTTTATTGCTATTAGAAACCAGAGTAATACTTTAATAGCCTACAAGCATTAAAAACTAAAAACACTATTTTTAGTTTCATTCTTTATTTATTTTTAATTTTTGGCTGGTGGTTGGAGAGTTTGCCAGGTCTAGCCCACCAGTTAAACAACTCCACTGTAGGTGTAGGTTTCGTAGGTATTGTCATGGTATGTTTCTACATAGTTTGTTTTACAGAAAAAATTTATTTGTTTGGCTATATTTTAAATATTGCTTGTGAAATCTAAGACAGCAGAAAACATAACATAAAATGTGGATTTTGGAAAGATAAAGTTAGAAAACAATTTAAGGTCACTAGGTTTTGTTTTTGCTGGAAAGATTCTTCATAGTAAGTATTGTAATTTGAGACTTTAATGAAACACTTTTTCTAACTTAATTTCAAAATAATTAATGATGGAAGAAAGATCAATTTAAGCCTTACTTAATGGTATCAGTGTCTCAGTAACTTGTATACCTTGAATCTAGCTATATGCATAATTTCTGGAATTCTACACATACTTAATGTTAATAAAACTCAACTAATAAGCCTACTTGTAACTTCTATACTTAAAGTGAAATTCAAGAGTACATATATTGAGTGTTAAAGCCCATATTAAATTTTTTACAGGTTTTTTTTATCGTATGTCACCCAGACAGAATAAAACAGATCCAGTTTAGCAACTCTATTGGAAGAAAAAAAAAAGAGAAATCTTTTAGGCTTAACAATGTGATGAAGTATCACTCTGAATATGAAAGGTTTTATTAATACTATTAGTTGTAAATGTTTATTTCAACTGAATCTATAATTCTCAAATGTGAAATTGTAGTTTTGTTGTATTTTTTTGTTTTGTTTTTTTATCTTTCAAGTTGTTCCCCAGTGGCTCAACAGTATGTTCTCAGACTTAAAATGCTGAAAACTGGATTTCAATACAAGTGTTGGGCACAATACAGATAGCCCATTTTGTAGCTTTGTAATTAACTACTAAAACAGTCTTTCAGGTTTTAGCTAGTAGTATGTCATTGAAAGAGTATAATGACAGAATCACTGCATGTTGTTATTTGGATAAGATTATGCTGAAATCTTGTAGGTTTGTTGTAAAAAAAAAACTTTCTTGGATGCATTTAGAAAGTTCAGTAAGTGTAAAAACAGGAAATTTAAGATGGAAAAATATATTATTGTCATTTAAAAACATCATTTCACAGGAAAATTTCTTTAACTTTGTAACCAAAGAAATTATACCAATTCTCAAAGCAAAACTTTTTTCCTCATGTTTGCAAAGTTTTGTGGAGTCAGATGAAATAATATTAGTTTTCCCACTAAAATCTGAATGGGTTTATGGAAACGGAGGTGTGAATGTAGTCTTCAAAATATTTAACTTATACACTTGCTCAGTTGAGGTATTGTAAATTAAATGATAATATAAATGAACCAGTTATGACATAGACGATTAAATGTGGCTTATGTATTTTATTGGAACCTTAAACTTTAGTGCTTTCAAATATCTTTTGATTAAGTGTAAAAAGTATAACATTTATGAACTTTGTAGTAGTGAAATAATGATAAATTAAGAGAATAACATATGTAATCAATAAATATGCCCTGGCTTTTAACAGTATGTTAGATTGTCTCATAATCTCTAGTTTTAATCTTAAGCAGATTCTTAAATATGGAGACTGTAACTTACGTAAATAACAATGCCTTTTACTTAAGTAAATTCACACAATGAAGGCAAATATGTAATGAGACAGACTGAGCTACATTATCATTTCTTCAGACAGAAATGATTAGCAACTCTGAGAATAAGATAAAAGTCTGAGTGTGCACATGCCTTGGTCTTTATTGATCAACACACATATTAATGTACCCTAATTTTATGTAGTGATATTTCATGAGTTTACAAACAGAAGTACATTTATTTATTAACTTATTTGTCAAATATGTAATGCTTATTGTTTTTTGTTACTGATAACATTCCAAGTCTGTTATATGTATTTTTAAGTTCAGTCTTTCAAGGTAGTTTTTTTTGGATCAAAAGGTACACGAAATTATGAACCATTCCATTTAACTATTATCAGACACAGGTGCATTGTTTTGACACACCTGTGTATGGCTTGTTATATTGCATTGTGAAAAACAAAATACTAGATGAAATATTTTCAAACTCAAACTTTTTTGGAACATTATGTATCTTCTACAAATAGCATATCTTATTTCCATATCTGATATTTGTATGAATTTTTAGCTTTGAAATTTCAAAAATACATCATTGTGATAAGTTTTTGTTAAGGATTTTAATTACTGATTTCTATGTTTTCCTACGTTCTCTTAAAACTATCCTAAGAAAAAGTTGTCAATAGTGTATGCCAGTGACCATAAATACAGTGAAAATACATGCAGTGTTTTTTTTTATCAAAATAACAATAAAATTTACAGTTTTATAAAATATGAAGCAATAAAAAATAGTTGTAGTTATTTATTTATTTACTTTCTTCCATAAAAAAATTTAAGAATTGCAAATTTTGGAGCTTTTTTTATCGGTTTATACTTCATTTGAATTATGATGTTTTAGTACAAGATAAGATAGGCTTAGCTAAATCATTTTGCAGTCAACTGCATGAAGTTACATTTTGCTGATAAAGCCCTTGTATTAGCCCTTATCAGCATAAATATTGGCTTCAGTGTGTAAAAAGAAATATATAAATAAAAGTAAAATTGGGTTAAAAACTTATTATCACCTATATTAAATGAAATGTGATTAACAATTTTAAAAAAGGTTTGTTTGTTTATTATTTTGGTATTGGAAAAGATGAATTTCAACCATCAAGATCTTTTTTATGTATAGAAAACATGGCTACAAGTCTATTTTCTATAACCTTTTTTATTTCAATAGGCAATTTTGCCCTCAAGACAGAACACATACATCTGGGACATGATAGAATTAAAGCTAATTTGCAAGAGATAAACCAAGATACAAGTTCTTATGCTAAGTAGCATGTGATTATGATAATTTTTAAGAGAGTTTTTATGTAATATAAGTATTTACTGATTATTCATATTAGTGGTACATTACAAGTTTGGTCAAAGATAACCGTAGACATTTTGGGAATGTTGGACTGTAGGTATACATTTATATATCTTAATGATATGTGATGTATGATGTGGACATGCCATGCTTTGCTGGATTACAGTTTTTATAGCTTGAAAAAATAATTGAGAAACTGTTGATTGTAAATGAGTTTTAATTTTCTGTAAAAAGCCATGTACGGTTACTTAAACATGATAAAACACTCAAATCTTAAACATATAATTGCATTTCTTCAAATAATGTCCAATGTGTGACATTGTTTTCAACAATGACACAAAATTCCAAAAAATGAAAATGCACTAAAGTGATGCTACACACAACTGAAACTGTAAAGCAGTGCTACATGCACTTAATTTCTAACACTGTACTTTTGAAATAGTTTTATACTCAGGCAAAAAAAAAAATTACAGTTGCTCATAAATGAAGAATGCTAACAAAAACTCAATCTTGATAGGTAAAAAATAGTTTATTCTTGGTTTTCACATCAGTTTTTACATTTAACATGCACAAATTTTAACTGTACAAGTATACTTTAATAACTGTCTGCAAGAGAAATTCTAACAAAAAGTTGGAAAGATAGCTATTATTTTTTTGAAACATAAATTAGTCTATAGTGTTAAATATATCAGTTTATCTTTGTTTTTTAAGAATGAAGCACTTGATGGAAGTAAAATTGTTTATACTAAATTTTGATAAATCTTGCAGAAAATAAAAAGTAGGACCAACCAGTAGTATGTTATAAAAGAAAATCAAATTACGTTGTGAGGTTTGTCTTCTTTTTTTTTGCACTAAAGAAAAATATTCAACAAATAAGAACTTTGTCAAGAAGCCTTCTCTCCCCATCTTCCATAATTGTAAACTGTCTATTAAATTTTTGTCAAATAGCCATCTTTCCCCATTTTCTACTGATGCTAACTGTCCGTTAGATTTTTATTAAAGAGCCATTTTTCGACCCTCTATGCTAATGCTAATTGCTCGTTGCATTTTGCTCATTCTCTTCTTATCTTTAAACATTCTTAAATGTTTGTCTATCTTGGTTGGTGGTTTCTTCATATTCTGAAAAAATAAAATAAATTAAAATTATAGTCTTAGCAACTTGTATTCACACTAGAATTAAAGACTATAATGTCAAATTATCCTACAACTGTATGATGTATAGGTGTATCCAGAGGAAATATTATTTATCTAATCCATTTCTCCAATACCTGTATTACACTAGCAACTGTTACAGAACTGTACTAAAAACACAAGTTACCATTTAACTTCATATATCCTAATATTTGAACTTCATCTCTTTAGGTCTATCTTTCACAATGTGAAAGTTAACTGTATTTCATTCTTACACTACAAAATATAAACTTAACTTCTATCACACTTAGTCTTTGCTATTAAATTAAACAGTACTTAACTGACTAGTAATATCATGGTATTCCACTAGTGCTTCCTGAAACTTTTTACAAGATCTAGTGAAATGAGTAGAAAACCTATTTTTACCAATTAAGTTATGACTGGTATGGTGTTCCTTTACTCTTTTGGTACTAAAAAAATGCTACAATAAGCTAGCATTCAAGACACTTGTATACAAGTGAGCTTTCGAAAATTAAACTCTTAAGGCAAGCTTACTGGTTAGTAAATAATTACATGAAATAACAATATTCAGGCTTTCAAGCCACAAAATGAATTTATTAGTGCTTTAAAATTCAGTTATAAAAGGACTTAAAAAGAAGAGTTACAAACTTTGAGAGGGACACATCTAGAGAATGAACCAAGAGAGAAAGTAACAACAAAATAAAATAAGGTGTTAATATGACAGCTGTGCCTCCTGAATGTAGACAAGCTATGGACAGTGATCCATGAAGGTAAGTAAGAAATTCAAAATTGTAGATAATGGTGAACTAAATCTAAAAATCGACAGTGACTAAGTTTAAGAAGCGAAAAGAATGCTACAATACCATGACTTTAAACTGTTTAAAATTCATGTCATAACTAATTAAGCTTTAAAATCAGGATAATTTTTCTAGGTGATCAATTAAATGTGCAACTTGGAAGTAAAATATTGTTAACACCATTCACTGTGCTTTAAACAGATTGCTACCTCACAGTTATGGAATACATTGGAATTATTACTCTGAACCCCTTTGTTCTCCAAATATGTTAAAAATATAAAACTTTATTAAGTTCACTTACTCATTTTGCCAAAAGTACTAAATAATGGAATGATAAAATGGTGAAAACTCAATAACACTTTAATCTAAACAGAGTTGAATATGGATTAACATAGAAAAATACATCTTTATTGATGATAGAGATGTTTTCTTAAAGCTTTCTTCCTTCAAAATTTGGAGAAACAAGTGATAAGAAGAACTAAATATGTATGGACACAAAAAACACAGAATTACTAAAATATACATTTATACTTGCCATAAGACATTAGTATTAGGCCTATTATATTTTTAAACACTACATTCTTAATCTAACTCTTAGAGATCTTTAAAAATTAGAAGAGTGTAGAACAATAGTATTCCAACAACACTACATTTGTCATATCCGAATGTATTTATCAAATACATTTCAACAAACAATTTAAAAATAAATTACAAAATTCAGAATTTGTTTATTTTTCAATTTTCATAGTTTAAAATGGAAAATAGTGAATATTTCCAGTTATCAGTGAGAAAAGACTGACAGTAGATAAAATTATTTTATGCTCAATATTTTGCTTAGTGATATCAATGATATACGTTTCAAGCAGCTCGAAAGACACGACTTACAAAAATCATGGTGATGCACAACTCTTGCATCATCCTGTATTTAAGGTTATCTTATCCCAAATATTATTTATACAGCTAAAATGTCCTAGTCTAAAAGTATTTTGTCATTGTTAAAGTTTTAAAGCAATAAAATCACATAAAATAAAACAATTGACTAACCATGTTCTTTTCAGACAACTAAAAGATCATGAGCTGTTTCATTTAAGCTATTTCACATACAGTTATTTTAGCATCAAGTAGCAAGACAGATTTAGTTTTTGTTTATTTTTTTCAATTACTCATTGTGAAATAGTCAAACCATTAATTTCGCTGCTGGAAAAACTTTTAATGTATAAAATGTTTAATGTACTATGGCTTTAGACTGACAGAATGAAAATGTAGCACTGATAAATGACTTTGCAGAGCTTTTCAAGGCAGAGAAGTGTAAACTATTAATGGAAAAAAATATAAAAGATTAGCATAAGTCATTTATAGTAACAGCAACATTTAATTTCTAAAAAACAAAACAAAATTATACTTACTCTACTCATTTCTGTTTCAACATTCCATTTTGGTCTCACAACATAGTCTTTGTTAGAGGGCATCGGTACCCTAGCTCTAGAAACCCATCCTTTCTCTCCAGGTCGTAGGGACCTAGTGACAGTAACTGGGTGGTTACTTATACATTCAACATTATTTCAGAATTTTTATCCTCATACAATACTTTTATTCGCTGTAAAGTGGAAAATAAATAGATAATTCATTGACAATCATACAGAATAAACTCTATATTTATAGTCAAATGGGTGTTGGAAATAAATCATAGACTATATGTACGAACATATGCATGCATTTGTGATGAAATCTTATCTTTAACTGTTCCTGTGTTTCTATATTTACAGTATTAAAATATCTTTTGTACATTTAATCTTTAATACAGTTGTCCTATTTTGACACACTTGGTGGAATTAATAAAATATGAAATTCTAAGTTAATTGCTTTTTTGTGTAACACAAAACAAAATAGTCCAAGTACACTATCAGAAAGTTTCCAGTTACCCTACAAAAAATCATGGTAATTAACCCAGCAAACTCTGGGTGATGGATGCTAAAACACACATAGTGGATCATCTTTATAGTAAGATGGTCTGAAGGAAAGATTGAGGGTTTAAGTTTTAAAACAAAACACAAATTAAGGTCCAATCTTATGGAATTTAAAAACATTAAAAATAAGTAAAATAATTTATCAGAAATTTATGACTTTATGAACAAATGCAGTAAATTCTAATTAAAAATATACTTTCCCATTATGTGTATTTATATAACTTACACATATCTACATACATCAAACAGTATGAACTGTTATCTCTAAAATATGAAAAACAATTTTCACCTGGAGGTTTAAATTTCTAAAACATCAAGGAATTAGCAATTTCTAACAATACTATTTACCACAATGGAACGTCATCCTTACAACTTTAATATGAAACTGTCTAGACACTTACTTTTCTTCTCCACTGAGAGCTCTGTCAATATCTTTTTCTTGTAACTGATCTCCAGTCTCAAGCCTTGAACAAGTAATATTTGTGAAGTTAGTGAAGGAATTAAATACAAGATAAATTATCTTATTCATGGTAAAATTTAAAATAAATGAATAACTCATAGTATGAATCACCTTGATTAAATAATTTTGATGTTGAACCCTTTTCTTTGCCAGTTAGTTGAGTTAAAAATTTGGTTTTGGAAGACACTAGTTTTTAGTTTTGTAAACATTAAAAATAAGCAATGACAAAATTTCATGTGGTATAAAATACATCTAGATGAATAATGTCCAAGTGAAATAAAAAAAAAGAGAAACTCAAAGTGCCACTTTTTACATGAGCATGTCAAGAGTAAATTTCCCATATCTTGATCTAATAATTAATGACAATCTCATCTTTCACTCACTGACCCTTACCAGCTATCACATAATTCTTGTGGAGATGTAAGCTAACAAATAAAATACCAATTTTTTTCAAGATCTGTGTGTTTATTCTTTAATTTGGCACCTTCGTTTATCATATTCTTTTCTGAAAAATCTCAAATAACATGACTGTCTTTTCAATCAAAATTAGCTGACAGGAGAATATGACAAAAGTTTTTTTTTGCCAGTAAGTGAGACTGGTTTGATCTTCATTACTGTACATCAAATTCAACATAATGGTAATTTAGGCTCAAATATTTTTTCTTACCCTAGTTTGATTCATGTCTGTTAAATTATATTAAACTGATGAAGGGTACTTAGTTTTTTTTAGTTTATGGTTATTCATGCAATTCCTCAATCGTATCAACAGCTAAACTATCTGCTGAAAATTAGGAAACTCATTTATAATAACAATTCTTTAGTGTTTAATAGCACTTTTAGGTCTTCAATAAACAATTATCTTGTTATAGACAGCATGCACTAAGAGTGGGTCTTTTAAACTAATCAGCAGTAAGAATGGTTTACTAATACAAATATGAAATACATTTTGGCTCATTAAGAAAACAAAACAAAATGTAGATAATTTTGAAAAATACTTAAAACTACATGAATAACATTAAGCAAAGAAAAGTATAAAAATAATCACACTAAGAGTAAGTGAAGTTATCAAAAAAACAAAACAAAAATACTAATATTCAATCCTGTTTAACGTATAAAACTAGTGTTTACTGTACCAAGTAAAACCATTTTTAACTGGAATTTGGATGTTAATGTTCCTGTATCTTTAATACATTTAAACACATAAAAGAAATACAGACCAAATAGTACTTCAAAGTTTTTCACCACATTTATGAACAAAGTATTGCTCAAAATACTCATATTTTGTATTACTAAATGACCTTAGGCAATTGACATTAACAATGGACATACTGTCTTTATGACAAGATTATTTTTCATTAGAAACTGAAAAAATATTGTCAAAACATTCTTTTTTTAATTGTAATATCACATTAACTTTACATAGAGCAGGTGATGAGCTTAATATACTGAGACTGATTTTGATGTTGGGCATTTTAATAGAAAAAGACACATACTGGGTTGTATGCCAGGTTTGGAAAGCTTTGTATCCAATTAATCATAAGCAATCTAATACAAATGTTAACATTAAGCAACTCATCTTCATTTCAAATAGATCTCTCCAGCAACAGACAAGTACTTCAAATATTTTTTTTCTTGACTAGATCAGTAAGAATATAAAAAAAACAAAACAAAAAATACTAGACAAAATTTTGAATAAACAAAATCACACAGTTCTTTCCATAGCAATAAAATGCACCATAATCATGGTCCTGACTTACTCTGGTGAAGGATCTCTTTGTTTCAAGAGACCAAAACGTTCAACTTCCAAGAACACTTTCCACAGATCACTAAAATTAATGTTTTCCAAAATACTTTCCAAACCAATGAAGTCACTAACTCAAAATGCACCAATACCTAATTATGTGAAAGAACTAGTGAATTTTAATCACCTGTTCTCAAAGGCATGGGTAAAACCAAAGAGTTATGTGGGGGTTAAACACCCACACACTTTGCATCATCAACTTTACAAAAAAATATAGAGCTACATAACATATCAAATATTTTTTTACTCTGCTTATCATCCTTCATGTACTATCTAGTTTCATGCCTGTAAGTTTCACAGTTACAAGCAAAGAAAATCATTATACATTACATTTAAAAATAGCAACTTATTTTATAGACTACTCTGTTAAAACATTTACAGAAATATGTTGAGTGATCAACACAACATTATACTATCTTTCAGTTATAAGAAGGCAGTGGCCATTAAGCACATTTTATAGCGTAACACCCCTCTCTCCTAAAATATATTCAAGATCTTTCCTTTTTCACCTGTTAGTAAATAAGATTATATAATCTTTCATTTGTCATTATGGAATGATACTTTTTTTTTTATGACACCATTTTTACTGAAGGTCCTCTCCTCTTTGGCTGTTGCCTCAAATGAATTTCTTTGGTTTTTTTTTCTGTTTTAAATAGTAATAATAATAATAATTTTTTTCCTCATTTGTGTGGTTATCAGAATTTATCCAGTTTTTAAATTCCACTGACAGTTTTAATACTGAATCTTTTAGTCAAGTAGAGAAAATCTGAAAAATTTGTTATGTGGTTGGGATTGGATAAATCTGGAAATCCTACAAGTCGGTTATTGAGTAGTAGATTTTATGGGGCTTGCTGTGAATAGCATTTTGCCTTAGTTTTCAGTAAACAAAGCAGTCAATCATGCTCTTCTCCTGACCCAAATTTGGGCATATACACCCTGTGGTCATGATTTTCTTCTTATCAACGATGGTCTGAAACATAATCCTTTAACTCAACATTCTATTAGGAAGCATGCAGTGCCCTTACTTTCTATCAACACAGCAGTGTTCATCTTTTAGAAGCTTCTCTAAGCAGCAGGTTCAATATGATCCCACCCAGCTTTATTTGCACACTCAGAGGAAGCCACGGGTCATTTTCTAGTTAT